ATATACATACATATACATATATACATATACATATACACACAGATCAAATAATAGTTCTTTGATTTGTTGACATTTAGGTTGTGTTTTCCTTTAACTGTAGTTAAGTATAACTGTTATAGTATAGTATAGTATAACAGATTTTTTGTGTCAGTTTGCCTTTACTTTGATCTTTGTCTGTAAGGATCCTATAATCAGAGTTATGTACTGTATATGGTTCCTAATTTCTGTTTACTGTTGACATGTGACATGTGTAATGTGACATCCATAATGACACATACAAAAACAAGAACTCAACACTCGTAAGAGAGCATGGTTGTCTCTATTTGAAACACTTTGAAATCAGAACCTGCTTCTAAACCTGCTGACCTTAGCTGTAACCCTTAACCTTTGGTCCGCCAGGAAAAAACCTCTGCATCTGTAGCGGAGACGGAGGAGGTGGTGGCTGCCAGCATGGAGCCAAAGCTGACACCAGAGGAAGACTTCAAGGCTCGCCGGTTGGAGGCCATTAAGGCTAAGGCTCTGGAAATTGAGACGGTAATAAGATTTGCTCCACAAAACAACCTAACGTCTACGAATTCTCTTTACTCTTTGTTGCTCACGCCATAATATAACTGGTCTCCTTTGGGTTTGTTAGACCTGAACCTTTCTCCATTAGTATCACTGGGTCTTTTATTCCACTGAGGTGAGGTTGTTGTCCTGGTTTTCATTACAGAATTTGAGCTTTAAGTGACACTTTCTTCCAATCTGCTTTATTCTGTCCGTTTCAGTTATGAAAAATAGCAATCATTCTTTCAGTGATTGACTTTTATACACCACACCTGATGACCCTAAATATTCCAAGTCAAGGTCACACAGGACATGGACACAGGTCAGGGAGCGTGTCAGGGTGGAGTTGCTGAGAGAAACCAAAGTGGTGCCCTACAGTATTAAATAACAGACATACTGAATACTTTTGTTTGTATAAAAATCTATTATAATCAATATCAGTTTTGTATACTGCAGGTTGAACATGTAGCCCCAATAGTGAAGTCCCTAATGGGTTCACCTATTTGGTGTATGTGCCCCATGTTGCATGTGTGGGCCTTACCCCGATCTCGAGGTGGGTCGTGTCCAGACAACCCTTTTACACTGGTTTTATGATGTGGCTCACAGTCAAGGGGTTGATGTAAAAGGTGCATAAATGCGCCTTAGGCTTGCCACACGTAATATTTCACTGTATTTGACAAACTTTTTTTGGTGCAGAGAAGGAGGATAAGTCAGCAGAAAAGTCTTTAGCACCCCAGGTTGTGATGCCTCTTGTGGCCTGCTATTTGGAGTTGCACTTTTTTCGCTCCCCTTCATCGCTCTGTACTACACTGCCACTTATCTGTTCCCGTTAAAGCAGGGGAGGAATTGCCCTGCAGGATGCAGGCGGCCCACCCACAGTGTGGTTTGTCTCTTGGCATTAACACACACATGCTTACCCTGCCATTTCCAACTGCTTCTACAGACGTGGTGAGAGGTAGAAACCTCTACTACGTCTTTACTGTAACATCTGCCCCAGGCTCAGTTAAACACGCTGATCCATCACTGCTGCGGATTGCCAAACTGAGCAGATCAGTGGTGGGCAGAGCTGGATCTCAGACATCCTTAAAGTGGTTTGAAGGAATGGCTCCAATCCACAGCGGTGTAAAACAAGCATGTCACCTAAACCAAAATGAAATGCTCCACCCCCTTTTTCGTCTTTCCTCAACGCTATTTTTCAGCAAGTTCTTAATACTGTGTATACAATTCTGTTAGCATTGGGCCAGATCAATCGGAAATGGATTGGTCACACCAGAACAGCTCATTGTTTTTTTTTTTTGCCAAGAACTCGTTGTTATGCATACTTTCTGTGGGTGTTCAGGGTTTTAAATGAAATTAGAAACCTCAGATAAATTTATTGACACAGTAAACATCCCTGCTTATGAGACTGCTTGTCATAAGATGTTTCAAAATGTTTAAGGCATAGTGACCAGCATGCAGTTTTTTTGTAAACCATCACACTACCTCATTCTCTTTTTTAGTGATGGAAAATGGCGTAATTTATCATTCTTGGGACTGACCACAGAGCAAATGTGAGCATGTACAATAACAACATAGGAATTCAGAAAATATCCATTCAAAACTTAAGCTTAGTGCCTGGGAGTGATTATCAGAGTCCATTCATCATCTCAATCAGCACAAATGAAACATATCCATTTCAACTATTAGCCCCTCCATCGAGAGGTCCGGTTTGCAGCTTGAGTGATTAAAATGGCTCTTTTAATATCCCCTAATGTGTACCAGCCCTCAAGTCATTACCCTACTTCCCTTATTATGCAGGACCCCTGCCTGCCTCAGTGCTCATTTGAACAGAGCCTCAGTAAATGTCCATGTGAGTGCCTTATGTATAATCTCACTCAAACCCCCAACCCCCACCCGGTATCCCAGCACACACTCGTGTCAGTATTTTCACAATTTGGACCTCCATAAACATCCGATTTGGGCAGAATCCCACTTTTTTTTAAGGCCCCTCCTTAAGGGCCCTAGTGTTCCTCTTTCTCTTGGGGTTCCAGCCCGTCCTGTGTGGCCCCCTTAGTATCAGTCTTAAAGATCAGCTCATGGCTCCCACTCCAGGGAGGGAACTTAGGCAGAACCTCCCTGCAACCTTTTCTCACAACACACAGAGCACGCTCAGGTCAAAAGCACCCTTCCTGTTTGTTCAACTAACATGGGAGCAGTTTTTACAAAAATAGCTGGCTGTTTGAAGTCACCCCGTAATTGTTCTTAAATGCGGAGTGATGGTCTTCATCTCACACAGGTTTATATGCATAGTCATGTCCATGTAAGCACATGATAGCTCACAGTCTTCTAAGCTCCAGTACCATCAAGGGAAATCTCTTAATCTGAGCACTGAGTTCATGATAAGGCCACTTTTTACAATCATTTCCTCTACCTATTTTGAAGCTTTCAAGTGTGTAAAACTGTGCATGTGGGATATAATGAAGTGAAATGTAATCACTGTCAACAAAGGCTGTAGCTTGGTAAGAGCTTAGGAAGGTTTTGTTTTGAAAGATGGCAAACATAATCAACCCTAAGTGATTAGAGGGGTACTGGTTTGTGGGACACGCACCACATGTTTGTGTCTCATTTAGTCTATGTTTCCTCTCACATCTTCAAACCTGGAACCAATTTCTGCCTCTTCCAAATAATGCTCACTGAGTGAAAATGTTTATCAAAGGAGAAATCTAAGTGGCAAAGGTGTAGAAATCCACCTGAAATCTAGGTTGTGTAATGTTAAATTGATATAAAAAGGTTCGAAGTGGAGGGATGGGACAGCTCGTACGGTATGCAGACAGAAGGAAACCTGTGTTGACCCTGAGCATAGCCGGCCACACGTGTCGTGCGTCTCTTGCTTCCTTGTGGTCGGGGCTGAAGACTATCATTATGTGGGGCCACGAATTCGCTTGACATGATCTGCAGACATTAAATCATCAGCCTGAGTCCAAACATGTCCCACAGTCTGGGATATTTCTGTTGGAGTTTACGTGACATGCCTTCCTCTTTGTGTATACAATGTTGTGATAAAGTGATAGTAACGTGTTGCTCTAATATTCATCGTCAGAATAGTTATTTTACCCTACCGTGACATTTGATAACTTTTTCCCTGTAACTGGAGCAAACATTGTTCCAAATTAATGTGTTATGGCACAGAATGTGGGTTAGGGATGCGGGAATGAACAAATAGGTGTGCACTGTGCACTGTCTGAACATGCTGTAACTAGTTCAGCAGGGGAATTATCAGGGAGAGAAATAAAATTTAAAAAAAGCCAAGAAGGAGAACTGAACTGATCTGGGGGCTGGAGGCATTGCAGTCTGTTTTGTCTTTGTTGTAATTAGCAGGTAGAGCACGAAATGGAGAACATTAATTTTCTCCCACCAAGTTTTGTGTGTGTGTGTAATTTTATAATTTTACATAAGATTATTTAGCATATCTTGATCCTAGCCTGAGACACACAATAAATTTGTGCAATTTCTTTTTTTCCCACAACAGGTACTCTCAATAGCCTCTCTTTTAGCCTTTTTGCTTTTTAAACATGGGACCTTTCTTTTGTCTGAAAACAGAGTGGTTCCCATGTGGCAAATTGTTTCCGTCTTTATTGTTCCGAGCTGATCGTCACATTATTTTTGTTTCTTTGACCTTTCCTGTGTGTTCAAAGCACCACCCAACCAAGCTCCCTCCCAGATTTTGATGGAAAAGATCATCTTGATACTGTCTGTGGCAGATTTCTTGTTTCTTTAAATATTGTAGACTCACAGGCCAGATTATATTTGATCTCATTTCTCATACTCATGAAATCAGATATTGCACCTTTCTTGCTCAAAGCCCTCATGAAATTCTCATCAAGTACGGTTAAGTCACTTGACAGTGATATAATGAATTTACGACCCTTCTTGTGATCACCATACAAACTGATGGATACACGGCCATGAGTTAGCCTAGATACACATTATGTAATGTGTATCTAGGCAAAGAAACAGCAGTTGTGGTTTTAAATTTCCCCATAACTGACAGAACCCTGGAATATAGCCGTTTAACCGGTTAACCTCACATTCTGCTCAAGACTGGACACTGATTTAAGTTGACAGGTAGCATTTTTCTTTTCAAAGTTACCAAAGCTGATGGTTTGTGTTTTATTGCATTTAACAGACAGTTAATGTTTGATAAGATACTGTCAACTCACGCACAAGTTCTTAAAATGGTTATACTGTCTGAATATGATGCATATGTACAGTTTCTCTAAGGAACCTGCAACAGTTAAGTAGTGATTAAAATAGTATGTTAAAGAAGTAGATCATATCTCCTGATATTTCAGTAGGATTGATGCAGAAATTGACTGTTTTTCACCTAATGAATGAATGAATGACCTGCCTACTGATAAGATATAAATAAAATTTGAAGCTTTATCATCTGTAAAAATAGATATTTTATAGAAATGATATGTTGTGTGGGGTAAATATGTCCTCTATGGCCACATGTAATAGCCTGTTTTTGTAAATAGACATGTATCTAATCTTAACTACTAATTGGATTTGATTTCTTACTTGTAGTGGCCAAGAGATTGGTTGTTTTAAACCACAGAGAAGCCTTCCGTCTGCCCCAGTGACTGTAATTTGAGGGGAGAGGTGATCTGGGCTGCATTAACTCAACCCTAGAGGACCTTGATGTCCCAGACTGTTCCTTGACAGGCTGGTGTAGCCCTAAACCTCTAGGTGGCTTCAGTTGGGGGCCCTACATTTAGCCTCCTCTCCCCAGGTGATAAAGATGTGAGCTTGCACCTGGGACTCCAATAAAGAACTTAACAGCCGTTTTGGGTCAGTAGTAAAATCTGAGAGAGATGTGAGAGCTTGTTACAATGTGGTGTGAAGGAATGCTATAGCACCAGTAACATACTCCGACACCTCATGTCCCCTTTGTCATGGGCCGACATGCACTTGAATAGGCTCACATACACACATTCACACACCTGTTTGGTGGAATACGCCAATTTACCAGAACTGGGTTCATTAAGTTCACAGTTAGGCGTCGATACAAGAGCCGGTCTGTAGAATTTAAAGAGCCCTCAGACAGAGGTGCTCCCTTATTTGTGAGGTTAGTACACATTTTGGCTCAATGGGTTGACCTTATTGAATTATACAATATGGGACATCCTTTCATATACTGTTAATTCTGTATGCATATAAATGTTCTGTGTGCATAACATACCAACAGGTGCATGGTGTTGTGACTTGCAAACTTTCCAAACAAATACACAAATATGTTCTAGTTTGAATAGAAAAATGTGTGTTTTGTGCCGACATGTCCTCCATGTTCAGAAATTTGTAACAACCTTCTAACTTATTGCAGTTAATATTGCAGTGATATTTCTCGTAGTTGTAACTTAAAATGTGAAAAACACATTCAGCTAAACATGAATAGGCTACAGTATAAACACTGTTTCCTTTTCTAAATCATGAAACAGAAAACTGGATTTCAGTTTTGGTGTTCAGCCTTTAAGATAAAGGCATAGCTATACTTAAAGGAACACTCTTTGCTCCAAAACTAAAAGGTAATCACTTCATCAAAATTTAAAAAAAAAACAGGATTGCATCACTCTCAAGTTGATTGACGAGCCTATATTTATGATTGTTATCAGATAAGAAAAAAGCTTATTTTCAATTAAATGTTTAAATAATTTGCTCTTTAACCCCCAGTACAAGTATCATCAGAGTAAAATGTGCCAGTATCCGTTTTCTAATAATAAATATAGCAACTTCTATAAAAAAAACCTGTTCTGTAAAAAGTTGTCATACTTTTGTGAACTCAATTTTAAAGCTGTTATAAATGGTTTTCCAGTAAATATAGCAACTTCTAAACATTCCATATCAATTTCAGGCTTAAATGAATGATTTCCAGTTATTCCCACTCACATCCGGTTTACGCCCTGCTCATTTCAAATATAGATACTCATTTTGTACTCGCTCATCCCTACTATATACTTTTTTGTATCATTATAAATATTGACATTCTTGACGTGATTGTTTTATGTGTAGCATTACAGGCGGGACTGTGAGACATTTCGCACTGTGGTGAAGATGTTGGTGGCCAAGGAGCCCAGTTTGGATAATCTGCTGCAGGCTCCGCTGGATGAGAACCTGTTGGAGATCAAACAGCGCTGCCTAGATGCCCTTAAGCACTTTGTGAAGGAGCTGGACGAGGTATTGGAGCAGCCGGACACCTCAACAGAAACAACAGATCACAAAACACTGAAGTGACAGGACAGAGACTTAAATCTTATCTTTGAAATAAGTAGAAAGCTGTCCAAGTGGATTGAAGAACTCTACAATTTGTTTTCACGTTTTATTTTAATCCTGTTGTTTAATCAAATAATGTTATTAATTAAAAAAGTAGATTTATATGTATTATCAATAAAACACAGAATTTCCAGCGGTGACATTTTTCCACTTGCTAAAACATAGATTGAAGACTCAATGCTAGGTATTTACTAAAATAGATATGCTGCTACAGTGAAATACCTTTAGTATTATGAGTACAGTCAGATGGGCCTATAGACAAGATATAATTTCTATGAAAACCTGAATAATTCAAATTTGAAGCTTAAGCTGCGTTTTTTTTTTAGTTTTTTTTTTTTACATAGTGTATTGTAATTCCAATATCTGTATTTGTTGCATCTGAATTTGCAAGTGCAGCTAACACTAAATGTTACACGTTCAAGTATTCTTGAAAGGGTCCAAACTCTATATGGTGTTTTTTCAGTGCAGCACTGTTCTTTATAGACAATACTGATTTTTTAAATATAGATTATGCATTTTTGTCTTATTTTGAGATGTAATTAATTTGCTTGAAAATATCATCTTTTAGATTTTTAGTTAAACTTTTGTAAATAAAAGTTGAGACCTTGAGTGAAGTGATGTCTCCTTGTTTTTTTATATGCATTAAATACTTTTGTGCAGGAAAAAAAACAACACAAATCATTATATATAGATAATTTTTATTACAATTATCATCTATTTTAGCCTTATATTCCAGTTTGTACATTTATACAGATTACAATGATTTGCTTACAATACAGTGACCCATAAATACACCACACAACCAGGCCTTTTAATACACACAGTGTTCCTCTCGTGTTAGTGCTGCACAAGCCTGGAAGAAAACACGTTTGAAGAGCTTGGGTCAGAGTTAGTTTGTCATTACTTTTCTGACACCCTCATGGAAAAATTGCTCCGTACCAACTGCCAATTGTTGCATGTTAATGCCATTTTGGTACAAAGCACGTCATTAGCTCAAGGGTATAAAAATAGCCATTTTGTTTTTTTTAACTCTACAATATATACATTAATATCTTCACTGTTAAATACACAGTTTAGATGGTTTATAAATATGTATTACTCTAAAATACTTAGTCACTTTACTGGTAGTTTGTAATGCGTGTTCACCTACGAGGATTCAGAATAAGGACTTGTGTCTTACACAAACACCTTGGTAAAATGAGTGCTGTGAAGCATTTAATAGCAAGCAGACAGTTACTGCATTTTAAACAAAGGACATGAAAGGCAGAGGTGAGTGGCAGAGTATTACCAAAAGCTGAGGATAAGAGAGTAATGAAAGTTTATGAAATTATACAGTTTTTCCCCTTGTGCCCCTTCTTCTTTTTGGACTTAGTCCGCTGGCCATAAGGAGGAGAGGACATGCCTGCCACAGGGCTGGGCAGGTCATCAGTGTAGTAGTATCTATGGGGCCTGGGCTGAGGAATGGGCTGACCCAGGAAAAAGCCTTCTTCCTCAGAATCAGAGGAGGAAGAGGAGCATGTGGAGCACCAGTCATCATCATCATTCCCATACAACCCCAAGAACTGCCCCGCTGCAGGGCCCTGTAGTCCATAGTCTGACATGGCAGCAGGACTGGGGTGTCCGTGGAAGCCTTGTTGCCCCTTGGGATAGAGGGATTTCCCTCTGTGGTCCACTTTGTAGCACATCTGGGCCCTCTCCTTGGGCAGAAGGTTAAGAGCATTGTCAGAGCGAGATTTGCGACTGCGATGCCTCCTGTGGTGGTGATGGTGTCGACCAGACTGAAGTTCTTGGCCCTGCTCCTCAAAGTGGTACACTCTACGGCGAGTCCGTTCACTCATAGGTGGCTGGCGCACTGGGAGGTCACAGTAATGGCCATTGTCTACCACGTCATCAGAAAATTTCACTTGCTGAGGCCTAGATTGTGAACGTGTCCTCCTGAGGGCAGGGACATGAGGCTTGGGTCTGTCCTCTGGCAGAGGCACCTTTTCTTCCTTTGGAACATTTTCCTCCACCTCCTCTTCCTGCTCAGATACAAGGCTCTTCAGGGAATTTGCACTTCTGTGCAACATAGAGGAGTTGAGGGTTCCCATATTACTGGTTTTCTCACAGTCTTCTGTCTCCAGTTCATGGAAGCCTTGCAGGGAATATACCAAAGGTCTATCTTTACTATCACCATCTACTGAGGCCCCTGGAGTGGAGAGAGAAAAAATATAAAATGTTTGTACAAACTCAAGTCTTTAAAAACCATCACATTAAAGATTATTTTCTTAGGTTTAATGTATAATTTCACATCTACTCACCAGTAATATTGGAGAGTGCCAGTGAGTCCATAGAGTCTCGGACACTCTGATCTGTCTTCTTGAACTCATCCGTGATACACTCCAAAGAGTCATTATACCATTGTTGCTCCTCTCCCTGGAAGCCTCCTCCAGCCCCATGATCCAGCTCCAACTCCTGGATCTTTCTGCTGCTTGCTGGGCCCGGGTGGCTACCGTAGGCTGAGTCCCCTAGCCCATCCTGTGACTGGGCCCAGTACATGTCAGCCTGGTACTTCTTACTGGCCAAGCTCCCCCTTCCTCCTCTATCACCACTGCCAGCACATGAGGACTCCTGCTTCATCTTGGGATCCTTTTCGGCGATCCAGAAATCCGTGGGTCTGGAGTCATGTGCTTGCTGGAAGACTCCATGTTCTCCAAACTTTAATAGTAGCTGAGTCATGTAGTCTTCATGCTCAGCCCACTCCTCCTCTTGGTCCTCAGGTGCCTCGGCCTCCTCACCACGTCCCCTCCAGAAATGCTCATCAGATAAGTTCATGTGGGCAAGCTTGTTGGTCAGGGTGTCTTCGGTATTTCCACTGAAGCCAGGGAACTTATAGTTCACAGAGGGTGAGAAAAGGAGCGACTGTCGACATTGGTCAGCTGAGCGACTGCTCTTGCCCATGCGCACACTGCGGCGGGATTCACGTGAGCGTGCTGATTGGAAGGCCGAGTCAGAGGAGTCAGAGGCATGTACATCTTCACCGAGACTGCAGGCCTTGGAGCAGTAAATACGACCCTGGTGTGGCAGGAATGGGCAGCCCAGTAGAGAGCTCTTACATTGGGCACAGCTGAAGCAGCTCTCGGTGGCATGCCAGTGGAGCCCATCATAGGTCATCTGAGCATGATCAACACCTGGAGAAAGGGAAATGTTGAGCTCATTAGCAACACTAATCTAAAGCCCCCATGGTGTTTTAATTTAAATCTGGAAAATCATCATCTTACCAATATGTTCTCCACAGGCCTCACAGTACTCAGCATAGAGAGACTCAAAGCAGCCACAGCAGTATGGTCTGCCATCCTTCATGATATAGCGCTGGCCCCCCAGAATTGTCTCACATTCAAAACAGGCGAAGTGCTTCATGTGCCAATGGCGCCCCTCTGCCTCTGTGCACTCATCAGCAAAGATAATCTGTAGACATAGATGTATATTAGATGTGAAAAAACTTTGTCAGATTTATTCAAGTGGAGATATAATTTTTTTTTATTGCCGTCCCAGTGCAAATGCCATCTGTGTCAGATGTGTTTCCTTCATGAAATTGTTTTCTCTCAGTATTTCATGTTTTTACCTCATCGCAGGCTGAGCAGCGTGGTTTGAGCAGCTCAGCATGGTGCCTCCCACAGTGGATCTTTCCATCATGGTAGAAGTAGATCAAATCCACCAGCAGTTCACTACATGTGGAGCAGGCAAAGCATGCGGGGTGCCAGCACAGCCCAGGGCCCGCCCTCGAGGCGACCACTGCCATTTCTCCACCGTTGATGTTTTCACCACACTGTAATATACAGACATAGTTGATTATAACATCCTGTAATGACTCTGAAATTGCACTTAATCTTTATGTTTAAAAATAGTCTGTGATAAAATAATCTGAATCCTGTATAGGTAGTTACATCTTACAACCTCATGGAGATACAAATGGGTGACAATTTAAAGGAAAAACCAACTGAACCTATTCTCTGGAAGCCTCTCCATTCTCCCGTTTAGGTGTTCGATTTGATTCACATCATTTCATTCTCATCCAATCTTTCAAGGACCCCTGGTGTCCTATGAAACCGTCTGCATTTGTCTCTTGTTTCTCCACTCATTCATTCAGGTTTTTCCTTTAATTTGTTACCTGTCTGTAGCTTTGACTTCAAGCCCAATTTGCTCCTAATGTAACACAAAGGAATTAGAACTAGAACATCATATAGCTTGATGGGTTGTGTTAACAGCAGTCCTAGAGTGGCTAGACTTGTTTTTCTTTCCTGTCATATGAGGACATGCCTTTTCAAATCAACTACAGTGACTCTGGATAGAAAAAGAAAGAAAGAAGAAGTCTGAAGAAGATGTCTAGTATACAGCTACATCAGTGTTTTGACATGGTTTATGGGCACCCTCTGGCTGCTCAAACACTTTTTAAATACTAAGTGAAACACTGTCATGAGCCACTCCAAACCATTTAGCAGAGAACTTGTTAGTCTGCATGGCTGCAAATCCAGCTGACAATGAGATCTTTATTTCAGCTTTTCCTCTGGGTTTTAACAAAAAATGGATCCAGATTAGCCAAATACCCATGTCGGAGATGTACAGAGGACAGGCAGCTAATCTTTTTTTCAATACTGTAGTTGAAAAAGGCAGGGAACGTACATGCTCACAAATGCTGTTCAGAAGATTGCGGGGCAGCAGTTTCACTGTACCCCTCCCCAGTGCTTCCTTCTTCCTCTGAACACTGAACATAAGTAGCTCCTTCTTTTCCTCCTCACTGAGGGACTGGCAGTAACGCACCTGAAAAAGAAAGTTTTATAATTACACACTTGTACACACAATTTAAATTTTTTTTAAAGGTATAGTAGTAAAAAAAAATCCTGGCTGGGATATGAAGTGTTTTAAGTAATCTTTTCCTATTACACTCCTTGAAAGATCCAGTTGGAAGACTTATAGCTAATAAAAGGTTATAAACTTAAGTATGAGAGAGGGCAGAGTGCATACCAGAGCATGCCGAACAAAGGCAACTCTTGACCCCAGCTTGCCCTTCCTTCACCCCCTACATATCTCCACCCACAATCCCTGATTGAGAACATCATTTTTACAACAGGCCTTTTTGATGTTTCCCAAAGCCTTAACAAGAGGGAAAGCAGACGTTTACACAAACAAGGCCTGTGTTTAGAGTGAAATCTAGAGGACGGGCAACAAAGGAAGAGAGACAGCCAAGTCGAACTGTGGTGCCACTGCGGTGGTGGCATCACATAAAGACTCTTTCAACCAGCATCCCTCTCTCCCGCTGAGCAGTCCTCGTAAAAACCACTGCTATGACAGGAATCCTGCTGGTGGGGGCTACCGGCAAACATCATAAAATCATCAAGTCAAAAGTCACATTGTGCCCACAGTACGTGTCTACAAGATCGTGGAACAAAAATCCCCTAGTGTGATGTCAACGTGAATGCCAAGGGCTCACATTAGTGGGATGGCATGGAGATGGTGAGGCTGTTAACGCTGTGGGTTTGGCGGGCAGCAACAGATATGGCTACTCAAACAAAATGGATAGTGGATCTTTTCTGCAGCTGTAGCTTAATGAGAGGACCTGCTGGGATGAATTTTA